GCTCCACCTTAAGCTCGGAAATGTTTCAAGTTTTGGCATATTTGCCATGAGGTGCATTGTTCAACCGTAATATGGAAAAGCAGATTGATACAAGAAAAATTCAAGATTCTAATAAGCACGTGCACCCTCACCAACAAAGAAGGTGCCACTAAGTCATGTCATTGGATTTGCCGTAATTTTGGGCCTGCTTGTAAATGACTCGTCGAGCATCCAAAAACGAAAAAACACAACAATACATGCAAAACAAGTATTTCAACTTTTTTGGAGAATATAATGTAGTGGGAAAGAATCGGAAAACCCAATAAGCGAACGTTTCTCCACTGAGTGTGGAAAAGCCGATACCGAGATGGAGCAGCTACACGCCGGCGATGCCTAGTATGGAAGACAGGACACAACAACAACAATAACAATGGTGGTAACAACATTTAAAGAAATCCATGCAATAAAATTTTGCAGCAACAACGGTGTAGATGATGGTGTCTTTGAGGCCCAAGATCAGACCTAAGCTTCCTGAGCTCCTCTCACTGCTCATAGTCTACCATTTATGTGTTAAGATTTACTGGTCAAAGACGTCGCTCAAAGAGAAACTTGTGCAGAAGCCTGTATTACAAAAGCTGTTTAAAAGACATACGGTTTGATTCATCACAACTAATAACAGGTGGAAGAAATTACGGTGAAAGTTCGAGATGTGGCATACGACTTCAACGAAAAATGACATGGCGATCCGGTTAACAAAAAGAATAACTAACCTATGCTTTCCACTGTCACATGCATCATTTGAACGAACACTAGAACGGGAGAGCGTTGAAGAGAAGATTTGATGGCGAGTTTTGGAGCATCGAGCTCCATTAGGTTGACACTGCTGCTGCTGCTGTGGTGATTGGGATTTCCTTATAATCTGACTAGGTACTGTGGGATGAGCAACAGGAGCAGCTCTGCCACTGACACCTCTGCTTCCACGTCCAACACTGCCGTCACCGCCACAGCCTGTGGCGTGGACAGTGGGGGCACCTAGAGGTGACTGCTGCCGATCATCGAGTTCGTCGTCACTAGATGAGGAGGCTAACATTCTGTAACCATGCCGATGCTGAAAATGAAAGTCAAAATAAAGCATGGCAAACTTAATTCATTACTAGAGAATGAAGGACGAGATAAGAGCTAAATGAGTATGACCGCATGTTCTTTTAGGAGCAATAACATCTCAGCGATGCAAGGAACTAATGCAGATAAAATAAAAGCAAGCATCGTTAACGTGTCAATACGCTAGGTTGGCCCAGAGGGTTTCAAAACAGATAAGTTAACAATTCAATGGATCAAATCCTTAGCAATGGATTAATGCATCAGAAGCTGAATTATACTACATTTCACAGAAATCGCAAATATCTAGCACAAATCGATATTTCGTGGTTAACACTAGTAATATTATGTAAGGTTGGATCGTCACCTTAAAACCAACCCGTAGTCAAAATTGTTAGGAGCCTATATCAGTCACACAGACACGATTGACTCCGACTAGACCGATATTTGTGATTTCATAAGCACCCGGTAGGACTCAAGTTACTAAGATAGGTGATCCCATTGACAAGAAAGACAACAAACCTCGAGACAGCTCTTAGGGAATGAACAGTAAAGTCAGCCTAACCACAGGCAAGTGAGCATTGTTGCGCTAAAGATTTATTGGCTACCCCATAGAAATTTGTAAGTTGATTTAGTCAAACATGGTGAATTCATCAACACTTAAATACATTATCTGCATAGGTTTTAAACTCCGTGACAGTTTATGTCAAGAGATTTAGATAAACATCTGAATACTGGCTGAAAAAGGCTAATGACAATTCAAAAAATTTGAACATGTAAAATTTCTAATATTTAAGACATTTAGCCTTCCTATCCTTACAGTTTCATAGTAGTGCCTTCAATAGTTATAATGTAGTGTTGCGAGACCTTATCAAGTAGGAGAATGCAATGAGTTAAATGGGCTGAATAAATTTGCTTTCGTTGACGAAGATATTGTGCTCTAGCTGAGTCCAAAGGTTAGCCCAAGTGTTCAAGGGTGAGGCAATTACCAACGCAATCATTAGACACCAGCTAATTACATAACCAAAGTACTACAATGCTCCTCTCTGCACTACTCTGTTTATGTGACCATATGACGTTTGGCGATCACTTTAGGACTCGTCTTACCCTTGTACGCGCGGGCTGACCTTCGGACCATGCTCAGCCCCATTTGTCCTGTCGTCTTCAGAATACATGAATCCAGCTGCACTTGGTGATTTCATATACCGGCCAGGAAGTCTCGGGACGCTACACTCTTCTTTTGGTTGAGGTCCTCGGCGATTCCCCCCGTGCAGCTCCCGCGCCAACTGTAATACTGTTTGGCCGCTACTTTGGGTATTCGTTGTGTCATTCCATGCTTCAGCTGGCAATCTGGCTCTAGCCCTTCTTCTCCTCTAAGAATACATTTATTCTACTCATGGTGATGCCTCCTACTCGATGAGAAGTCTTGGGGTGTTACAATAACCACCATAACCTATCCGGCGCTATAAGTATCCAGCCAAAAATTGGCCGCATCAGTCATCAGTTAACATGAGACTTCAACTAAATTTGCAGTTACGCACGCCTGAAGGACAACAATCGTAGGAAAAATTATTTGTTGACCATCACTCGCCTCCATGAATAACCGATGGTAAGCTGGTCTAAAACAGATTTTAACGGTGTAGATGGGTTCAAACACTGCCAAGTATGCAAGGAGATCCGTAGTGTTATTTTAAACACCGAATCACGGAAGTAGTGCTACTACTACACTTGTGATGCTGTGTTTATGCGAACACTTGACGTCTGGAGGGTACTCTGATTTTCGCCCGCACCTTGTGCGAATAAGCTGACCTTTGGGCCATGCCAAGGCTCGACCCTTCCTCTCTCCATCGAATACGTGCATTCAGACCAAATTAATGATTCAGCTAAGTCCAGTTTCTCCCGTTTCCAAGTGGAATAAGGGGTATAA